GATATATAGACATATAGATATATAGATATATAGATGTATATGTGTGTGAGTGTGAGTGTGAGTGTGTATATGTATGTATGCATGTGTATGTTTGAGTGCATATGTAGTTGAGCGTGTCTGCATATACCTTACCCCGAAAGACGACAAAACCACGTGCACTACACAAACATATATACACAGCAACATCCTCATAATCATATTCATTCTACCTGATAATTTCCGATCGGGATAGTGTGCATGACCATCCAGTAAGCTATCATTAGAAGCAGGGTCAGTGAAATCTTTATTGGGACTACCCCGACCCTTCGTTAGCGGTACTGTGCGATCGGCTTGTGATACTTGGTTGCCATCGCTCGGCTGATACGTATCATGGGATCAAATATAGTTACAACATGTGAGTGGTCTGAAGATGTCTCGTATAAGTTTATTTTGCCAACTGTGTGTGTGTGTTATATGCGTACAGGAAGGGTACAGTGTATAGTAGCAGCTGAATTGCTAAGGGGTGACATAGTCAAATCAAAGACACAAAAGCATATATATAAACGTATCCTCCATATCCACGTATCGGGTCTGAAAGTCCAAACCTGTACTCATACAGCCCTATAGTGGCAACTGCAAATAAACCTAGTCTACACCGCAAACAAACCCTGTTCACACCGCAAACAAACCCTGTTCACACCGCAAACAAACCTTACTAGCTATACCCTTATCCCCCTCGCCCACGGCCGCACCAGACTCGGTATACTTCGTGGCCGTTTCCATGGCAACCCTGACCCCCGCACTTGCCCCAGGCACCGGGCTTGACGGCACACTCCTCTGGTCAAACACCCCGTCCTCACTCACTGGATCCACCTCATCTGCTGGGACGCCCAGTGCTTGTCTCATTGGCTTAGGTGACGTGGGCGAAGGAGATGGGTTCGGGTTATCGTCCTTTAAGCTGTTGACCGTGATTTCCGGTGCAGGCTGTTCTATCAGTTTGTTGGCAACGTACATTCCGCCTAGAATAGCCGCGTCTTTGAGATTCTCGGGATTCGCATCGATCGGGTCTGGCCTGTCGCGTGGGGAGGGATTGAGAGGCATACAGAGTTGGTGGTCGTACAGGTGTAGGTAAAAGCGTATGCCTGTGCTTTTAGGATATGGCTGTAGAGGTGTACAGGGTAGGTGATAGTATAGAGGTAGGTTGGTAAGAGTGTATGCCTGTGCTTGTATGATATGGCTGTAGAGGTGTATAAGATGGGTGGTAGTATAGGTGTAGGTTGGTAGGAGTGCATGCGCCTGATGTAGGACATGACAGTAGAGGTATATGATGTCAGTGTCGGTAAGCTTCTAGATATATGTCGTCAATGCTTGTCACTGCGATAGGCGGCTAAATACACACGAGTGCTTATAATTCGAAACCATTTACGTAAACCATATACGTAAAACAATTGTGAAGGTGTGAAGGTGGTGATGTGCTCTCGGCATCAATAGCATATGCGTATCACGCGACATACTTTGAGTCTCCATTCTGACAGCTCAGATAACTCAGCCACTGGATAGTCACCCCACCTTCAATAGAAGTTGACTACAGGCTACCACTAAGGGTTCAATGCATTTGGAAGTGCGGTCTTCTCTGCCAGAGATCACAAGTGCAGTGATGCCGATCCACTCATACACAAACACACACACACACACACACACACATGTATATAT